ATCTCACCAGACATGCAACCAGGCAGAGCTTTCATATTGGACTTCCCAGCCTCCAGAACAGCACTAAGTGCATTTCTATTGCTTACAAATTACACAGTCCGTGATATTCTGGTATAGCAGAACAAATGGCCTAAGAAATAAGGTTAGCCCTTTACTGATGTCTGCGTATCTGGATTTGGGGAAGATTTCCACAATTCCTTGATAAGTGACTTACAGTGCTATTTGTACAGTGTGGTTGGTGCTGAATACCAGTTGTCCTTCTGGGAGTCTAGAAGTTTGGAATGGACTTAGCAGGGATTGCCTAAGTCACTGTTTCCTATTAAGAACCTAGGTCATGAGACTCCACTGAGCTTCCCTGGTAGACATTATGTACAGGTTTTTACAATCCAATGCTGAACTTAGTAATTCACGTGTAACAGGGAGAGGACTTTCACAGTATTGCACCTGATTTCCCACAGAACTCATCCAGTGCACATTTTCCCTCTGGTAATTTACTTTGTATCCTTTCACTACAGTATTGTTGGGGGCCAGGGGGTATGAAATAGTATTTTACTATATGGGGACCAGGCTATCTGACCGGAGTCCCGTGGTCTCATGGCTGGTGTGACCTGCTTTAGGAACAGAGAAGTATGTGGAAGGCTGCATGCTCTCTGGTTGCTCTTAACAACAGCGCTCCTAAGGCAAGATAACATCTACTGAGGACAATGTAAAGAACGGGTACAGGGAATCTGTTCCTCATCATCTACTGCAATTGCTGTTCCATGAAAAGTACACTACCCCTTCTCCTGTGCTCAGTTGTTGCTGTTTTGTTTTTGGTCATTTTGAGACAGAGTCTCGCCATGCAGCTCAGGCTGGCCTCGAATTCGCCACCGTCCTCCTGCCTCTGCCTCCCGGTGCTGGGATTACAGGCTTACAGGCATGCGCCACCACACTCAGCTCTCCTGTGTTTCTTGCTTGCTAATAAAAGTGGGTCAATATGGAAATTGTTGAGCCAGTCCACTAGAGGCAGGTTCCTCCTGGATACCTTGTACCTCAAATGTTATCTTTGTCTTTATTCCCTGTTGTTCTGCCCACAGGTATCTGAGGATCCGATCATCCCCTAACAAACAGGAAGCTTGGACTTTGTTTTTGCATATTGGCAACTAAACCCAGGGCCTCGTGCCTGCCAGGCAAGTGCTCTACAATTGAGCCACACTTGCTCCTGGACTTTGACTTGGTGTGAGCAACCCATAAGCTTCATCTCCTTTCCGGTCCTGTAAGGTTCACCCAGCAACCCCTAAGTACATGTGCTCTCCAAGCATCTCTTTTAGACTTCCAGCTGGCAGGACCTTCCCTCTCTAAAATGCCCAAATACTATTTTTCACCTGTTCTGGACCTTGTTCTATAGCAACCACCACCCTTTACCTTTCTTTGATTGCCCTTAAAGACTACTGTCATGATTTTTGACATCAACACCTAAACTTGGAGGGCGTTTCTTCATGTCACAGTTGAACTGCTATAATAGGCATATACACATTGGTAGGGAAAAAGAAAAGAAAGCTTTTGCAGAGAATATGATTGTCTACATAGAAAATTCCCAGGAATTCACAGAACACCCACTTAAACTATTCAGTTTGGCAAAACTATAAAATACAAGTTTTACATAAAACAGTCATGAATATTTCCAATTAGCAATAAATAAATGGAAATTGATGTTTAAAAAATAGTACCATATAATTTAGCACCAAAAGCATGTAATTCTTACGTACAAACCCAATAAAATATGCTGAAAACCACAAGTTTCTGATGGAAGAAACCAAGAGTCCTGAACAAATTATACCATATCTGATTTGGAACACAATATTATTACATCAATTGTCCCCATACTCATTTATATATTAAATGCCACCCCAAGAAAAATCCCAAAAGTTTATTTTAAAAATCAAAAGCTGATTCTAAAAATTACTAAAAGGTGAACAAATTAAGATAGCCAAATTAATACTGAAAAAGAATGGGTCTGGAAGACAAATTGATAACTTTGAGACATTAAAGCTACCAGAGCTATGATTGTGCAGTACTTAACAAAATAACAGGCATAAAGACCAATGGAACAGAGGTCAGGGGAGAAAAACCTTACACCCATGGATTTTTCAGAAAGATGTGACAGCAATTCAATGCTGAAAGATATTTAAGGAGTTGGAGCCCTGAGCTGCCATACTAGGAGGAAGCTCAACATCACCATTCAGAAAGCCCACTTGCTGAGGTTCTAAGAACACCTAAGGAGAGAGATGTCACAGTCCTAGTCACCATGTGACTGCAACTGAGACCTGAACAACCTAGCTGAGCCTCTACTCCTGTTTCCAGAGAAAAGATTGTTGTCTTAAAGAGAGAAGGAGAAAGAGAGAGAGAACAGTTAACTGGATGTCCATAAGTAAAAAAAGGATCTTGACCTCATACCCTATGAAAAGATTAATTCAAATGGGTTATAGTCCTAGATGTAAAACTGAAACCTTAAAATTTCTGCAACCTTGGATTAAATAAGAGTTCTTGGGGCTGGGGATTTAGCTCAGCGGCAAAAGCGCCTGCCTGGCAAGCGCAAGGTCGTGAGTTCGGTTCCCGGTACCGGAGAAAAACCAAAAAAACCAAACCAAAACAAACAAACAAAAAAAGAGTTCTTATATCTCAAACTAGAAAGCATAATCCATTGAAGATAAAAATTGAACATCAAAAATTTTAAAAACATTGTGAAAAATACTGTTAACGGAATAAAAATAAACCACATACTGGGATAAAATATTTGCAAATCACATAACTGACAACAGATATGTATTCAGAACATTAAAAAAGAGAGGGAAAAAAAGCTACTGAAAAAGTAAGAAGAAAAGAACCATCCAGTTAAAAAAAATGGGCCAAGGTTCAAATAAAAATAAATGGGTATATGAATAGCAAAATGTAAGTTAAAGTCAAAATGAGATACTACTGTGAAATGGAAAAATAAAAACTAAATCATAGCATACCAAGTGCTGATGAGGAGAAATAACTGGAACTTTCATACACCAATAGTGGGAATGCAAAATGAACAGCTATTTTAGTCATGGTCAGTTTTTCTCTAAAAGTAAACATACCTTACCATACACATCTCAGATTATTTAGGATGACAAAGGAAATCTTAAGTTGAGTGATAAAACTGTACACAAATGTTTATAGCTGTTCTCTTCATAATTACCAGATCTGAATATTCAAATCGTCTCCAAGTGGTAAATAAATAAATGAATGTGGTACATCCATACAACAGAATATTACTCAGCAATAAAAAGGAATGACTGAGATCAGGGACATCACTTAGAGGTGGAGCACTTGCCAAGCATGCACAAGGTCCTGAGTTCCATCTTTAGCACTGTAAAACTTTTGAAAAGAGGATGACTGATACATAAAATGAGTAAATCTCAAGAGTATTACACTAAGAAATGAGACTCAACAAGCTACATACTGTAGGATTCCATTCACAACATCCTGCAAAAGGCAAACTATAGAGACAGAAAACATTTCAGTGGTTGTTAAGGGCTGGCAATGAGAAGTGCTCACTATACACAGTGGGATTTCAGGGCAGGGGATGCTGGAACTGTTAAATGTCTTCATTGTGGTGTGGTTTCCTGAGAGTAAGCATTTGCCAAGACTCCATGACATACTAAAGTCAGCCTACTATATATAAATTACATAAATTCCTTATTTTAAAAAATTTTAATATAACAAAAACTGTTAATCCCTATCATTTGGTTTGCAACCCTGTATCATTTTTAATGTCCTTGCTGTGTTTTGTTTGTATTTTGCTATTACTCTTTTGTACTATTTTCTTTAAAAAAAAATTTAAAACATTTTAAAGGTGTTAGCTTGTAAGATTTTCATATACACCTTTTATCTAATTTTTATCTGAAATGGATGTTGAATTTTGTCAAATGTTCTCTCTGAATCTATCAAGATGATTATAAGAATCCACACCCAAAACTGTACATATACAAATCATATGAAGCTCAAGAACAGATCTAACTAATCTATAGCACGGAAATCATAATATTGTTGGCACTGAACATGGCATTGACTGGAAATGGGCAGAGGAAACCTTTTTGGGGCTGGGGATGTGGCTCAGTGGTAGAGCTCTTGCCTTGGACACACAGGCCCTGGGTTTGATTCCTCAGCACCACCAAAAACAAACCTGTTTAATAGAAACTTTATATACACCAATCTTAGTGATGACTACACAAGTGTATTCATTTGTCAAAGTTCAGGAAGCCACAAAGTTGTGATTTATGTGTGTTATTGAATGTAAACCTTACCTCAATAAAATAGTGTTAGCATACAAAAATGCTGGTCACAACCCACTGAACTGATTTTTAGATTTATTACTGTACTGTAACTTCCAATTTAATAAACATTAGTATACAGGACTTGCAAAGTTTGGAATATGAGCCCACTTGTCTAACTTAAATGTCCTGTAGGCCTTATACAACACTCTGAAGACAACTTTACAGAAACTGAATAAAAATTTCAAATATGACTGGTCTCATTTCTGCTCATATAATAACTATTGAATGCATACAATGTGTTAGGCACTGAAAAGACAGAGTAGATTTGGCAGTCAGCAGAAGTCCCTACCCTCTTGGAACTTATATTCTAATTGAATAGATTTTGGCACTTCCATTTTAGAACTTTGAGTTAATTTCAGGTCCGATTCACCCTTCCTGAGCATCCTGTCTGGGAACATCTGTGTGTTCTAAATTAAATCCATTTGGCTACACTCTCACACTACTTCTCTGCTGTATGGCCTCCCAACCACCACCACGTCAAACTCTAATTAAAATGCTGACCTTTTATGAAACCAATCTTTTGTCTCCTATGATACCTCTGATCATTGGAGTATTTCAGCACCCATTTGAAATACTAACATAGTATTTTATAGTTTATTTCCGGTATAAATGTTCTGATGAAGAGAAGTCCTTGTTACCCTCTTCATCAGCATGGACTCGCTGATGAATTATAAGACTTGAGCTCCAACTGAAGCCTTTCCCACATTCTTCACATTTGTATGGTTTTTCTCCAGTGTGAACTCGCTGATGGGCCTGAAGGTATGAGCTCCAACTAAAGACCTTCCCACATTCCTCACATTTGTATGGTTTCTCCCCAGTGTGGACCCTCTGGTGGGCCTGAAGATAGGATCTCTGTCGGAAGCGCTTTCCACACACATCGCATCGGTATGGTTTTTCTCCTGTGTGAACTCCCCGATGAGCAAGAAAATTTGAGGCCCGGCAGAAGCCCTTCCCACACTCCTCACATTGATATGGTTTCTCCCCAGTGTGGCATCTTTGATGGGCCTGAAGTTGTGATCCCACACTAAAGCCTTTCCCACATTGTACACACTGATACGGTTTCTCTCCTGTGTGGACTCTCTGATGTACTTGAAGACTTGAGAACTGACTGAAAGCCTTACCACACTTCTCACATTTATAGGGTTTCTCTCCTGTGTGGATTCTAAAATGAACATTAAGATCTGAACTCCGACTGAAGCCCTTCCCACATGTACCACATTTGTATGGTTTTTCTCCAGTGTGGCCTCTCTGATGGGCTAGAAGATTTGAGGCCTGGCTAAAGCCCTTACCACACTCCTCACATTTATAGGGTTTTTCTCCTGTATGGACTCTAAAATGAATGTTAAAATCTGAGCTCCGGCTGAAGCCCTTACCACAAGCATCACATTGGTATGGTTTCTCCCCAGTGTGGCCTCTCTGATGGTCCAGAAGATTTGAGGCCCGACAGAAGCCCTTCCCACACTCCTCACATTTGTATGGCTTCTCTCCAGTGTGGCTTATCTGATGGGCTTGAAGGTGTGAACCTACACTGAAGCCCTTCCCACACTCTTCACATTTGTAGGGTTTCTCTCCTGTGTGGATTCTGCAATGAATGTTGAGGTGTGAGCTATAACTAAAGCCCTTGCCACAGGCACTGCATTTGTATGGTTTCTCCCCAGTGTGGATTCGTTGATGGGCCTGTAGTCGTGAACGCCAACTGAAGCCCTTTCCACACTCTTCACATTTATAAGGTTTCTTTCCAGTGTGGATCCTCTGATGAACTCGAAGATATGAGATCTGATTGAAGCTCAGCCCACACTCCTCACATTTATAGTGTTTCTCTCCTGGGTAGACTATCAGAGGAGCCTGGCAATGTGAGCTTTTCCTCGTATTCTTCCCACACTCCTCATATTTGTATGGATTCCCTCCTGTCGGGAGTCTCTGCTGGGGGTGGAACTGTGATACCTGACTGAAACACTTGGATGATAAATCAGGTTTGTATGACTTCTCTCTACTATGCACTCTCTGATGGGCTTGAAGACTTGAAAATCGACGGAAGGTGTTATCACATTTTTCACATTTGTAGGGCTTTTCTCCTGCACGGACCTTCTGCTTCACTTGAAGATCAGAATCCCAAGTAGAACCTTTCTCATTTGTCTCCGCTTTGTAAAGTTCTTTACCACCATGGACTCTGTGGTGAACCTGAAGATGTGAATTCTGATTAAAGCGTTTACTGAAATCCTCATCTTCATAGGGTACATCATCTAGTTTTTTCAACTGAGAGCCAGTTTCTTGAATATTCACCATAGACTCTTGACACCTGGTTAACTCCCTGGTAACTTGTTGCCAGATCTGTGAGCAGAAAGGCTCTTCATGTGGCAGGTACCTTGAGCCTACTTCTTGAAGAGTCTCCATCTCATTTAAATTCTTGTCTCCTAAAAGGATAAAGAGAATTCAGAGATAGGGTATGTGAATGCTCTATTCAGAGATGTTCTATACTCAGACCCCTAGACTAAGGTTTTGGACAAAGGTTCCCTTTTTCTTTTCCATCATGTATTATCTGACTCACATGCTCCCAGAAACCAAGGCTGGACTGCCAGGTCTCATCACACATTAACAAGACTAATAATTTACAGTCTTACTAAGTTTCACAAGTGAGCTGCAGGTTAGAAATTTGGAGTGAGAAAAATATTTCCTAAGCATTCTTTACTGAGAAGCTGCACCTCTAAAACTCTTGTCTCCTTTTGCTGCAGCAGGTGTTTGATAAACATCTTCCACATAATTCTGCCTACGGCATGTAATCTGAATGACTTGGCCTTGTTGAAAACATCTAGTAAAATCCCTACAGATAGATTATCAGACATTCTTGGACAATGCTGAAAATCTCTGCCTTGGATTACTTCACTGGAAGCTGACTGCAATGTTAGGAGCTCTGAGGCAATGGACTGGTTAGAAAGATACATGTTTGGAAGAAAATAGTTCATCCCTTAAGTGCCTAAAGTTCAGCGTGCAAGCCGAGTGCCTACCTCCTCCTCGGAAATACCCTCCACAAGAACAGCTGGGGAAAAGGCATCCACTAATAACACAGTATTAGAAAACCTGATGGCAATTAAAGTCTCTAAGAGAAAACAGTGAAAACCTGAAAGTTAACTTATAATAACAGGTCAAGAATTTTGAGGAAGAAATACAGCAACAGAACAGATTTCCAAAGTCAACACCAGAAAAGAAAAGTTAATGTTCTCCTTGGAACTCTACTCCTCTAATTCTCCATATGGCCTGCTATGTGCTTATGTTTGGGTCTCCAAAGAACATTGTCAGTGAGGCCTCTTTTCCCATCCAATATCAAATAGTAAATCCTCCCCATCCATGATGTACCCTTGGCAATAACTGTTCACCTACTCTGTTCTGTTTCATGCACTCACGTAGCCCTCTGATATACTACATGCACTTCAATCTGCTTTATGTCTGCCTTCACATGAATGCAATGCCCATGCAGACAAATGTTCTGTTCACACTTAATCACCACTCCCAGAGCACTACCTGACAAACAGTGTTCAATAAATGTATGCTCAGTAAACAAATGAGTTCTAGTTTGACTTAGTTACAAAAATAAAAGCTTTTGTCAGGTGTGGTGGCACACAACTGTAATCCCAGTATTCGAGGCTAAGGCAAGAGGATCACGGCAAGTTTGAGGCCAGCCTGGGATACAAAGTGAGTTCAAGGCCAGTCTGAACTGCACAGTGAAATCCTGTCTCAAAAAGGAGGACAAAGTAAATAAATAAAATAAATTTTTTTTTCAAGTGAGTTATCCATAATAGGAAAGAAACCTTGTCTCAAAGAAAAAGAAAAAACAAAACCAACAAGAACAATAAAAAACATAATAGGAAAGAGATTTAAAATATTTTGGCTGAGAAGCTGAAAGGCATCCAAAACTGAAGGGCTAAGCAAACTGAATGTTGCTGGTGAGAAAATCAGGCTGATCACAAAACCATGGCAAGAATCATTCAAAGAAAAAAAAAAATCACAAGGCAGGAAGTGGCCATGGGGCCTCCATGGATATTGACTGCTTCTGTAATTTTTGTACTCCCTCCATATGTAAGTAAAATACTTCATTTATGAGGTAAAAGTCACTATTTAGAGCCCCAGGAGTAACAAGGATAATGCTTGTCTGAAAGCAGATTATATAAAGTTGATGGAAACAGATAAACTGCTCTATATGGCCACACCAGTGTTTTTCAAACTGAAGGCTGTGGGGCTGGGGAAATAGCTCAGTGGCATAAGCACTTGCCTTGCATGCATAACACCCTGGGTTCAATCCCCAGCACCACCACAAAAAAAAAAAAAAAAAAAATTGAAGGCTGTGGTTCAATGACTTAATTTTATTTTTTTAATGACTTTAAATTTAGTAGCCAATGGCAAGTACCGATAGAGTAGAAAAATATTAGAGATACTCTGCAAATAGTAAACCGTATCACCGCAAATATGCCTGTTAGGGCTATACGTATACACACTATCTACACATACATGAATACATGGCTTACACATTGTGTGTGTATGTAACGTTGGGTATTGAATCCAGGGCTTTACTCATCCTAAATATATGTCCTGATGCCCTCCTTCATCCCCAGATCCTAAAATATATTTCTTATTAGCCATATACTAAAAAAAAAAAAGCTTTAAAACCACTGGTCCACAGTTCAGTAAGTTCCTTACGCACTTACACTGTTCAAATGGAAAGTTACATAGTAATGACATACACTTGCAAAAATAACAGGTAAGTGTGTTTCCCTTAAGGTCATGACTACATAGCTTGTCATTTCTATGTATATTTTCCAAGTAGCACATTTAAATGTTATCTTTGCATTTCCCTGAGGATATGTCAATTTTGAGAAGGCCCATTTCCTCGTTCCAGTCAGTTTACATTTCCCACTGAAATTATGTTAGTCAGGCCCTTATTAGAATGAGAAGAAAACTGTCCAAATTCTACATTCCTTAACATGTGCTTACTTAATAGCTACCAATCTTCTGTAATGTTTATTTAATCCTAATTTTTCAGGCAATAAAATTATGGCTATACATAACAATACTGGTGGGTGTCATCCCTTTCCCACCCAGGGCCTCTGCAATGAGCTACATCCTCAGTTCTTCTGTAAAAGAAATTTTTAATTTTGAGACAGGCTCTCACCAAACTGCAGAGACTGAGCCCAAATTCACAATCCTCCCGCCTCAGCCTCCCAGAGTGCTGGGATTACAAGTGTACACCACTGTTCCCAGCTTAATGCATTTGTGAATACAGAAGACTAAATGATAGGTAATATCCTTTTCTGTCTCTTTTTTTTTTTTTGAGACAAGGTCTTGCTATACAGTTCAGGCTGCGCTTGAACTCACTATGTTGCCCACATTGGCCTTGAACTCGTGGTGATCCTCCTGCCTCATCACCTGAATGCTGGGACTAGAGGTGTGTGCCACCACACACTGTAAGACTCTTTGGAAGAAGTGAATGGCTACGACATGGAAAATCTGTGAGGGGAAAGATTAACTTGAAAGCTAATTCTCTGAAATTTCCATTTTTGTATGTAAAGGGTATATATTTTGTTTTATAAAGGACCTAAAAAGTGGCTTTTAGACTCTCCATTCTAAAAAGTAGTTTCTCTCTAACTGAGTGTAAGAGACTACCACAGGCTACAGGAAACCCACAGGGGAAAATGACGCTCAATTTAGTTATAATCGCAAAGCTAAGCTTTCATGAGATGTGGATGCTATGGTCAAAAGGGTATCTCTCCAAAATTCTCAGGCTGAAATCTAAACCCCCAAGGTGATGATATTAGAGGATAAATATGTAATGAGAGTGCAGCTCTCAAGAATAAATTAGAGCCTACAAAGAAGCTTGAGAGACACCACTTGTCCTTACACAAGTGAAGACAGCAAGAAGATGTGACCTTCAGCTGGACAGGCTCACACCCAGACATCAAAGCTGCTGACAGGCTCACACCCAGACATCAAAGCTGGTGACTTGAACTGGACTTACCAGCTTCCAAAACTGAGAAAGAAATTTCTGCTGTTATGAGCCACCGAGTCTATGGCATTTTGTCATAGTAGTCTTAACAGACTAAAACAGTGAGTTAATACATATTAATGTTTACCTACATACATCCCAAAGCAACTAGTAAATTAAATTTAGACATTTATCAGGGGAAAAAATGTTCCAGACCATGCTTTCATCACACAGTTTTATTTACCAACCTTTAAGTACCTCTACAACTAATGGGAAAAAGTCCACGTAACAATAGTTAACTCATTCATTTATTCATTCCCCAAATATTTATAGCCACTGCCCTCAGCCAGGTCTGTTCTGTACACTGAAAATGCAGCAACAAATAAAGCAGCCAAAATTTCTCTTCTCCTGAGACCACATCTGAGTGCAAATGTAGTGACAGAAATATATAAACAGGCAGGTATAGCGGCACACATCTGTAATCTAAGCTACTCACGAGGCTGAGGCTAGAGGATCACAAGCTGAAGGCCAGCTTGGGCAACTTAAAGAGAAACCCTGTCTCAAAATAAAAATATTTTTTAACAGTCTGGGATGTAGCTCAGTGATAGGGAACTTGCCTACATACAGAAGGCTCTAGCATACAGTTGGCCCTGGGCTCAATCCTCAGTATGAAAAAAAAAGGAAAATATAAGTTAATATTATAAGTGGTGATGTAAAGTAAAACAGGGTAAGAGAAAAGAAAATGATAAAGAAGAAAGCATAACTAACAGAGTGGACATGGGAAGCTTTCCTTATGATGTGACACCTGACAAGAGACCCAAGCAAAGTAAGCGGGCAGTGAAGGCAAGGACAGAGTAAAAGACTACTCCCTCTGGAAAGCAGTCACATGGGAGGTGAGGAGGCAGGAGCACGCTTGGCCTGGCAGACAGGCCAGTGTGGGGGGTGCTGAATGACGAAGGGGAAATTACAACTGCATTTACAGAGCGATGGGGGAAGAGACAGAAGGAGACACACAGGGGACGCTGTAACCCACTTTATGGCACATGGACTTTACTCTAAACCACCTGAGAAGTCACTGGAGGTTTAGGATGGGGCAGTGACATGATTCATCTTTCAAAGGGGTCGACCCAGGTGGAGAACAGATGACGGCCACAGTCACCGATGGACGAGGCCCTGGCCTAGAGAAAGCCGGGGCGTGAGCAGCAGGACAGACTCAGTTCCTCACTGGGCTCTCACCTGAGGTGCCACCACTCTGGGTTGTCATCTTCCTCATCCGGAGCTTTTCATCTCTCTCTAACTGAGGTAAAATATCTGGGGTGATGAACTGATGCTCTGTCAAAAGCCAAGGATACAGATTTAAAACAAATACACTGCAGGCCAGATTACTAAAGATTGTACGTATTCCATTGTATCATCTTCAGGATGGCAAAAATAGCATTTTCCAAACTTCTAATCATGACCGAATGGAGGAAATGGATTTCATACCAAAACTCCAAATATGCACGCATTAGTATAAACTACTGGAAAATGTGTGTTTTCATCATACCTTCCTCACTGTCTCTCACACTGTTGCTGGTAACGGGACTGTAGTTTTTGCAGGTGTCCAGGGCTCTGATAATTTCTACCCCATTTCATTTCATTGTATTAAAACAATTGTAAATGTAAATTCTAAATGTGTACCATGTGCCCTATTAGATGTGAGTATAATTTAAAGAAGGACAAAAGTACATAGCAATCATGGCATCAACTTATATGACAAACACATTAGTCAGGGGGGAAAGACTAGAAAAATTCCAACTCTTTATCTCATGATGATTAGAAACTGGAAACCACTTTGAGAGCTCCAAGGATCTGCACATCCAGGGATACAGAGACACCACAGGGAGCGGATGATCAGCCAGAGCACCGGTCCTCACCCACGGAGAGCAGGTTCCTGAAGTTCTCCAGCATCACGTCCCGGTACAGCTTCCTCTGGGCAGAGTCCAGCAGCCCCAGCTCCTCCTCGCTGAAGACCACGGCCACGTCCCTGAAGGTCACCGCCTCCTACAATACAAAATACACTCCACTTAATCTTGCAACGGAATTCCACTAAAAGAAGGGTAGCACTAAGAACAGTGGAAAAGATGTGCAGGAAGTAGGTCCAGATGCTAAGAGACCAGATCAACTTTACTAGGATATATGTTAAAGCTTCTTTTTTCAGCTGGGCATGATGATGCATGCCTGTAATCCCACCTTTTGTTTTCAGCATATAGGTAGCAAATACTTTCACTCACAGTTTGCTACTGTTTTTATATAGCCTAGTGTACTGCAGTGTATTGCAACTTCAGCACTATTGACATTTTGGGCCAGAAGCTTCCGGGCAATGGAAGGCTATCTGGTACACCACAGGATGATTGGCAGCACCTTACCTTCTATCCACTGTGCAGCAGCAGCACCCTCAAACTGTTACTACACAAAACTGTTAGCAGATGTCGCCTGGCAAGTAAAGTCACCCCCCAATTAAGAATCAGTGTAATTAAGATTAAGCATTGTTCTAACTTCTCATATGAAAACTGCTCACCCCTGGAGCCTGCACATTCAGGCAGGTACCCTCAGTGAGCAAGAGGGATCACAGAGGAGCCACCTAAGAGTGAACAGGGCCCATGGCATCTTCCAGCCACCACAAGCTCAGCACCCCCACAGAGAAGCAAGCCCGAGAGAACTCACTTCTCTTGCTCCTCTCTCTATCCAAATAAAAATCGTAGGAGTCTTTTTAAATTAGTTGGTTTTTTGGTCTTCTTTGTGAACTCTGCCACCTTTTAAATTCTCCAATCCTTCTTTGTAGTGTGAATGAAACCAAATATGGCTGCATAAGGTTGACCTGAGGACTAAAAGCAGTTAAAAAAAAAAAAAAAAAGGACCTGGCAAGTACATTATTACTTTGATAAAATAAATTAATATAATGATGAAAAATATAGACCAGTAATTAAACATATCCAAAGTATGACTCAGCCATAGGGACAGAATCCTAGCTTTTTAATCAGGCATGGATGAAAAGTGGTGCACCCCTCTAATCCCAACTGCTTGGGAGGCTGAGGCAGAGGATAAAACTTCAAAGCCAGCCTGAAGAAGTGAACAAGCCCTTGCCTCAGGGCTATAAAATAAAAAGGGATAGGGGTGTAGCTCAGTGGCACAGCACTTGCCTGGCTTGCATAAGGTCCTAGGTTCCACTCTTGGCACTGAAAATAAAAATCTAGCTTTCTTATATGGAAATATCTGATAACATATTCTCTGACCAGAACATAACGCTACATGCTGTAGTCTGAACTGCTATGTGCCCATGAATAAGGGAAAGTTATCTTTCACACACTCATACACTACACAGAGTGCATCAGTGTATGGGAATATGATGTAGTCATCAAAGCCATAGGGCATAGAACATTTCTAAGAAGACACATAATTTGAAAATTTTATCTACTCTATGATTACAAATATACTATTATGAATGCGTATGAGAAAAAGGATATGCAAAAAACCATTGTTTTAAAAGAGAAATAATAGACGGTGGGAGTTTTTAGTCACTATTATTGACTTTTCTATTTTGTGCTCACTTATCAAATTATAAAATGATAAGATAAAATAACAAAAATTAAACTATAGGAAAAAGAAAGGTAGGAACCATGGCACATCAGAGAGTCTCAAATGCCTAATGTTCTCCTTAAAATGTTTCCTCAGAAAGAAGAAACAAGATGTGTATAATCTCTAAGAAAGGAGATGACAGTTTAAAACCTAGATAAGTAAGCCCAACTCACCTTGAACTTGGTCATTCTGGCCTCCTCCTTCTGGGAAATGGGTGGGTCTTGGGAAAGCACAATGGGGGAGAAAGAAAATCGCCATCAGCATCTGGCCAAGAATGTCACTGACCCATATGGCTGCTTTCTGTGGAAGACCAACCCCTCCTGTGGGTGACCTGATGAGCAGAGTGACTCCCTCCCACTCGGTGTGGCCCTAACACCTATGCTCCCTCTGGGCCTCACAGCATCATGCTAACTCCAAGGAGGACAGAAATGGAACATACAGCTAGGTTGAGCGAGTATGCTCTGGCCCAAACACCTACATTCCTGGCACTGCTAATTACTAGCTGTGAAATCCTACACAAACTGTTATTTCCATCTCAATTCTTTCGTCCATAAAACGGAGAGATTTAACAATTAAGGGAATTAATAATCTCTGGATTAAAATTTCAGTGAGAAGGAAAAAAGTTCAAAGAGCATTTTCAGGATAACTTATTCCTTAGATTGTGAAAAGGAGGTAATATTCAGTAACATAAAACTTGCCTTCATAAGTGATTTTTATCAAGGGAAATTTAGAAGTTGCCGCACTGTCACATGAAAATTACCTTTAACTTCTGAAATATCGTTATTCTTAGTTGGTCATACTTCTTAATGCCTCTCTAATAATATTTAAGATCACATGAGGTGTGATCAAAATACACAGTGAGCCACACCATACAGGTGTGGTGGCGTATGCCTATAGTCTTAGTACTCAGGAGGCTGAAGCAGGAGGACAGTTGCAAGATCTAGGCATCCTGGGCTACACAGTGAGTTCAAGGCCAATCTCAACTGCATAATGAAATGCTGTCTCACAAAAAATAAAAAAATAAAAAAGAAATGCTGTCTCAAAAGAAAAGTGAATGTTTACATTTTAAAAATTTACTAAAGTTAAAAAAAAACCCATACCGCCATTAATTCCTCTTAAAATATTTCTTATCTATCTATCTATTTTTTGGTACCAAGAATCAAACTCAGGACCTTGTTTTTACCAGGTAGGCACTGTGCCACTGAGCTATATCCCTGGCCTTCTTCTCACTTTATACACACTTATCCCATTGTTCTTGACACTTTCTGAAACAGTTCTGGAAGTTCTCTTTACTGAGTGTCTTTACGAGGTGTGATTAAAAATATCACACCTGCTGCTGCTGAGTGTCATCCAACAGAAAGGCAGGCTCTTAAAAACTAGTGTGTCTTCATCTATCTTATTTACAGATGTGGCACCAGGTGATTTCTGGCTCTTCTTCACAGTCCAGATGACTGTATGAGGTAAACATTCTGAGTCAATTCAGGACATCAAGGCAGCCCAGTGCAACTAAAGACACTTATGAGAGGGATTTCTAGAACTGCTTTAGAAAGTGAAAAGAATGATGAGATAAGTGTGTTTGAAGCAAGGATAAGTATGGGGGGGTTGTTAATGACACTGTCTTTTGCTATAATAAACCTCAAAAAAAATTTTAAACATTCACCATGATTTTTGATCGTATCATTAGATGAATGGGACTTTTGGGTAGTAAAATATACCACATCAAATTTATCACCTTAAACACTAAGTATAAGTTTAGTAAGGACAATTACATTGTTATGCAAGTATACCCAATGTTCAGCTCAGAATTTTTATATCATTCCCAAATTGAAACTTTGCAATAAACTCCCCATCCTCTTCCCACCGCTGGTAACTATGCTGTCTCTATGAACCTGACTACACTGTTGATTGAGTTTTCAAAGATGTAAGACCTTGCAAACATTTTTTAACATGGAAGAGATAAAAGAAAATTTCATAAAAGTCTGTGTCTCTATACTATATATTTAATCGTATATTTGATAATCAGTTTACCATTCAAATAATAAGCTACAGCAATCATCGCAAGAATAACAATAATGGAATTGGTAATGTTTAACATTAAGTCAACATTAAGTACCTGTCAGGAGCCTGGTAAAGCACTTGGCATAAAGCACTGCTTCATCATCTCACACATACCTGTTATGCTAGTGCTGCGCCAGTCCTGTCACCTTGGTCCAACCACCTAAACCTCTGTGCCTATCCTCAGCTACAAAAGGAAAAGAAAAAAAATGTTAGTCGCAGGATTACTATGGGAAATGAATGAATGAATTTATGTGGTAGCCTTGGCAAAGTACCTGACATTTTAGGAAGTTCTCAGCCAGTGAAGATGACAAACGCTGCACCCATTGAGCAGGCAGGGTCGATGGGCAGGAGTAATCCCTGAATCCAGCTCTCATGCCAGCATCAGTATTTTGAATCTTGTCTGTCTCTCTGTTGTCTTCTCTACTCTTCTCTTCTCTTCTCTTCTTTTCTTTTCTTTCTTTCTTTCTCTCTTTCTTTTTCTTTCTTTTAGACAGGGTCTGGCTGTGTAGTTCAGGCTGGCCTGGAACTCATGGCGATCCTCCTGTCTCAGCCTCCTGAGGGCTGGGATTACAGGTGTGTGCCGCCATGCCTGGCACTCTGTTGTTGCTATGGACAAAAAACAAGCAGATGGGAGCTTAAGGTCTCACAGAGAGCTGGGATAAAAGACAGACAGGTGAATGAAGACAGAACTCTGAAGACACAGGATCTGTTTGAGGGAGAACAAGACAGACTCTAAAGCTGCCTCTGGTGCTAGGATACTGGCATCTCCAACCTGATGGCTCTTTTGCCTCCACGCCTGATCTGTGACTGAGGGAGAATGATGATAACACCAAACTCACAAGAAGGTCAAAGTGACTAAATATACATACAGCATTTGGAACAGTGTCTAACAGCTTAAGCATTCAATAAAAGTTCCCTACATATTCACATGGCTGCTGTGTTTTGGTGCTAGGGATGGAATGTGAAAGCCCTAATGTGATGGTACTGGGCCTGCAGAATATAAGTTAATCATCAGTTAGAGCCCTTATGATGTGATTAGTGTCCTTATAAACACAGATGGTGAAATACGCATTCCCACACTCCCAGGATGAAGACAAAGAAGGTGGCATCCAGGAGGGAGCAAGAGAGAGGGTCAGGGAGCTCTTTCTGTCCCTTATACTGTATCCAGTCTACTGGGATTAGAGTGGTGCCAATCCAATCAGTGGACTGATCCAGCAATCACCCACCCTTAATCCCAACACCCTTAATCCCATCATTGCACTACAAATCAATCACACGCTACATTCAGCCACCTCCCAAAAGCCTGCTCCTCCATGACTGCATGACGCTTTGGCGGGGGCACATCTGGACACAAACCATAACACCAGACATTGGGCTTGCTGATACCTTAATCTTAGACTTCCTAACCTCCAGAATGGTAAGCAATGAATGTATGTTGTTTAAGCCACTGGTCTATGGTATTTATGTTATTTCGGCCCAGACTTACTAAGTCATTCAGGGCACAGCTAAGCAGCACAGAGTCTGATGAGCAGAGCATGGGGCTGAATTCCAGATGCTGCTGAAACCTCCAGCTCAGGGTCACTACAACCCACCCAACCTGCACAGCGGCCCTAACATGAATTCTGATTGTAGGGTCTCACTCTGACTCTAGGCAGGAAGGAAACTGCAGATAAAATGAGCTGGGCTTGGTGGTGCACACCTGTAATACCAGCTATGTAGCAAGCCGAGGCAGGAGGACTGTAAGTTGAAGGCAATCTCGGGGAATTTAGGAGACCCTGTCTCAAAATAAAATAAAACAAGGGTTGGGGATGTAGCTCAGTACTCTCTTGGTTCAATCCCTTGTACTATGAGGCAGCAGAGGGGATTAGTATTAATTAATTAGCAGTAGTAAGTCCTCTTCCTTCAGATAGAAGAACCTTAGTATGGAAGCTTGCTGCGATGTTCAGACGCCGAATGGATGCAAAGCTCCATGTGGAGGAGGCCTTAAGAGGTGAAAGCTTTGGGGAGACTTTAGGTCATTGCAAGCACAGCCTTAAAGAGGACGGTGGGACTCTGGCCCTTTCCTTCTTCCTCTCTTTTTTGCTTCTCGGCCATCAGGTGAGCAGTTTTGCTCCACTCTATGCTCCTGTGTGTGGCCTTCCCACAAAGACAAGGAGGCCAATTTATGATGAACCATCTGAAACTGTGAGCTAACTCAACCTTTTCATTACCCAATCCCATTACAGTCACAGAACACTAATACACCTAGTATGGCGTATTTCTTTCCAATCTTAGAAGAAATTTCCCTTGAGAATTTGTGATTCATTTTGTTCTAACTCTGTCTTTGCCCGGAAATCTCTAGTAGAAGTGTTCTGCAGAGAGTCCTTCCATCCCCTCTGAGGGAAAAAGGATAACTAGGGAGTCAAACACCTGTTTGGTGATTCATATTTATTTGGATTTATTTCCCAAGAACCTAAAACAGAGCTTAAAACAAAGTGATTTGCTTAGCAGAGCTGACTGCCTGCCTGACTGACTGACTGAATCTACCACCTGACAGATGGGTGGAAGCTGATGAAAGACTATACAGGTGGCACCACCAAAACCAGCTAAGAATTCACACTTCTAACAATCCCAGCTAATGCTGATGTGGTTGATCCCTGGATCACAAATTGAGAAACATCAGTCAAAGGTAGCTCTCCAGAGTTTTTCAGACAGGCTAATTCTACCTCTAACCTTTCTACCAAACCTAATGGAGGACCAAGATCAACCCTAAGATCCTGATGTTATTCACAAGGAAATCCAGACCATTCATGAAAAACTCTCTTCAATAGTTAGGCCCTGACATAGTACCTACTGGGCACTGTTTGCCTAAATACAGTTAGTATCTCAACCAATCTTCATGACAACTCTAAGGACTGAGAAGACAATTATGCCTATTTTACAGATCAGGAAGTTGAAACACAGAGAAGTTACTTATTCATGATTTACCAGAAGTCAACAGAAAGTCAAGATTTTCAGTCCATGCTTTACCTACTAGGAATGGCTGTCAAATCAAGAGCACACGAGCCTCACAGTGGAACTTAAAAATTCCCAATCCGCAATCAATTAAATCAGAACCTGTGGAGAGGGATGCTGACATCGGAATTTTTATACCTTTCCTCAGACCCAGGCCATCATTTCATTGTCCAGACAGGACAGTGCACCAGGCAATCTGATACTTGTGCCCACATTTTTAACCACTAGGCAATGGTTTTCAAACTCTGGTATGCATCCAAGCCTGAGAATACAAATGCTGTCTTAACATTTTTGAGGCTCTCAGAGCCCTGAGGCTAGCCATGAGTTCCCATACCTTCTCTAGATAAGCCCCCTCCCCAATGTGCTAACTCTGCTTTTTTATTCTGTACTGGTTATGTGACATCTGTTATTCCTAACCTCTCCACAAGTGCTAAACCACAAGGTCAGACTTAAAATCAAGTTATTTCCATCTTCCTGCAAGCAGTTTTCACACAGGACTTACTATATTCCTGGACTATTCTAAGCACTTTATGTATCATGTCTCTTTCAATGACAGAAACTTTAGGAGGTATGTATTGATATTATTCCTACTTGATAGGTAAGGAAACTGAGGCACAGAGAGGTTAAGTAACTCCCCAAGGTCATCCAGGTACTGTGCTCAAGTGAGGTTTCCAATCTAGGTGCTGAGGTTTGATCTGGGCTCTGCTCCTTTTAGAATGTACTACCAAGTCATTTATTCAGTTAAGTCATCTATGCCTATTTCTTTCTCTTTAAAATGAGAACATGAATAAGATTGTCATGAAAAATAAATGAGTTAATTGCAAACACTGGAATTCTCCAAGTCAGAAGGGACACTCAACAAATGTTAGCTGTCCATTCTGCTGATCTCCACATAATAAATAAAATAGCAAACATTAATGTTGTCTCTAAAGGAATTTGTTTTAAATCATGACAATATTATCTACAATTGTACATCAACTTTTGAATACTCTGAAAAAGTCGATTGATTGTATAGCCCAGCAAAAGTAAGTGGGATAGCGCTGGGGATGTAGCTCAGCAGCACAAGCACCTGCCTAGTAATTGCAAGGTCCTCAGTTTGATTCCCAGTTTCCCCCCCTCAAAAAAAGTAAGTGAGATAAAAGACAAGGGACAGAGTCCTCCAGTTTTGTTCTCTAAGCCCAAGCTACAGCAGCTCATTTTCCGCTGCTTGTTGGACAGCTACATGAATCACACTTACTCGCTGGGCAACTCCTCTCAGCCAACCTGATGGTGGCACTTTGAGAATAGGAAGAAGTCCATGAAACACAAAAAAGTGAATTCTGCTTTATGGGGCTGGGGATTTAGCTTAGCGGCACAGCGCCCGCCTGGCAAGTGCAAAGTCGTGAGTTTGATTCCCGGTACCAGAAAAAAAAAAAAAAAGATATGTTCAGAAATTTCCATAGTAAAGAAGTAAAAACTCACTATATACAGTAAGACAATTTTAGAACATACAGATAAATACACATTAAAAACCATCAGAATACATGAAAATGTCAATACAGATACTCCTCATTCAATGACCTATTTAATGACTGACTAGACTTATGACCCAGGGGAGCTCTTCAGACTTATGCCTCTGCTTTTTTTTTTTTTTTTAAATAAACCGTTCTGGGGGCTGGGGATTTAGCTCAGCGGCACAGTGGCTGCCTGGCAAGTGCAAGGTCGTGAGTTAGATTCCTGGTACCAGAAAAAAACAAAACAAAACAAAATATATATATATAAATAAACCGTTCTGGACATCTTGTTTATAGAGCCTCAATGTCTTTTTTGTACAGTATACCTTGTTTACACAGTAATTTTATACAGTAACATTTATACTGTAAGTTTGCTAATTGTACTGTATAGTACTATACTTTTATATTGTTATGTTACAGTACTGCATGTAAGAGTTATGAAAATAAAAAGCAAAGTCATCAAGTTGGAGTTTCTTTTGACCATTTCTTTGTTCTGAATATTGTAATACACATACTATACACAATTCCTAATTTAGCAACTTAGTTGCAGGAATGCAATTCAGTTGTTAAATGAGGAGTGTCTGTAATGTGTATCTGAATGTTATAGATAATTCTAAATATTTTTTTTTACATATTTCTATACTTTCAGAATTCTCTACAAGCAGCTTCATTTTTTATGATTGGAACTACACATATTGCTTAAAATAAAGTTAAATTAAAATACTTTTAAGATTTTACAGATACGTTGCAACTCACTAATTGTGCTTTCAAAATCCTCTACAAAAAATACAAAACAAAAATTTTAAAAATCCTTAACAATAAAATTCCAGGGGCTGGGGCTTTAGCTCAGCGGCACAGCGCCTGCCTGGCAAGTGCAAGGTCGTGAGTTCAATTCCCGGTACCGTAAAAACAAAAAACAAACAAACAAACAAACAAACAAAAAACCAATAAAATTCCAACCCCATTCCCAATTTGATGCCAAATA